TTGTATACCCGCCACAGACATTGTGCCGTGTTTGGGAGGCGGAGGCCTCGACACTTTCTTCCATTCTCGTCGCAGCGAACCCGCAGTTTTCTGCCGTTCTCTCCCCTCTTTAATAGAGTGTTAGCCTCACGTTACAGACGGTCGCCACTTTGTCCGCGACCCACTCTATTGAGCATAAAACTCAAATTGCCCCTCTCCATGCCCCATCTGGTTCCCTCGGGTCCCGCGCCGTTCGGCCGTCCCGCGCGCTATTGATCAGCTGCCGTGTGTCGCGGCCTCCGTGCCGGGACGAAGATTTTAAACATAGAACGAAAGACAGGCGATAACTCTCGGGTCAGTTGGGGTGTGATCTTTGTTTAGAGGAGGAAGGGAGAGGGGAGGCCTGGTATAGTTAGATTTACATACATTACCATGTTAAAAGGTCGTGAGGATGAAAACACGGAGCTAACATCCAAAAAGACAAAAGGAATGGAAAACGGGCCAGTTGTGGGCCATTTTTACATCTCAAGCTTTCCCCGCCGCGACCGCTAACCTGCGCCGGCAAATTGTGCATTTTCCTTGGATTCTCTTGCTGTTTGATGTGTTACTTCATGGTAAAGGTTTGAATAGGTTTTCAGTTGCTCGTAAATATTCACAGTGATTACACGGTCGAGAACTCCGCGCGTCGCATTTACTGATATCTGTGTTAATTGACGCTCGTTATCGCGGGTTCCCTTGATAGTGCGCTCGGCGCGGCACAGAGGCTTCGCTTTCCTCTCCTCGTCGCCTTCCATTCCTCCATCAATTTTCTCCAATCGCACCTTTCCTCAAGCTTGTCCCTCCTCAGTCGCACATTAGTCTTTCACCTTCCCGCAGCCCCGTCTGGCCCTTTTATTTATATGAAGTCATTTACTTTCGTCCTCTCGTTTGCTTCATGATTTTTCTTCGTGTCCCATCGCGCCTTACCCACGTGCAGAAGCTGCAGCTCAGAAGATGAGCACCCAGCGTGACCCGGGAGCTGCCGGTACGCACGACTCGCACCCCCCCCCCCCCGTACCCACCACCGACACACACCTGTGTCTCCGGGCACTCCCTCCCCCCCCTGCCCAGACACAGGGTACCCACAGCGTTTATTTTATTTTTTATTTCCCTCCGTTCTGAAGCGAAGGGCTAGGGTTTGTTGTAGGAGCAACCCCCCTCCCACTTTCCCCCGGGATCCTCCCCCACCCACGGCGTTAACGCTCAGTCTCGCCAAGTAACGATAAGTCTCATCTTATCTCGTGTTCCGTACGGTCAGTGTTGACGTGCAATAGTTTAGTAGTTAAAGTTGTCGGGTTGCAAAGCCTCACTCGGCCTACATTCCTCGCCTGCCCGCACCCCCTCGGCTCCCCCAATAAAGCCCCCCCCCCCCCCGTTCCTCTCCCTCGCATTACTCGAGTGGCTGACATTTTTGGGATTTTAATTAAAGTGCTTAGTTTTGGAAACAAATTATCTGCATGAGTGGGTGCGGCCCGCGTCCCGGCCCGCTGTCAGGAATGCCGACGTGCGCGCCCTCACATTTTTTGCCGCGGATTCTTTGGTCGAGTTTTGATTAAACGGTTTCTTAGGGTAATTAAGACGTTAACTTTTCAGCCTGAATGTAATTGGCATCAAGTTTTACAGGAGAGCCAGAGATCGTGACCGCCCCTTCTCTGACAGCACTGGCACCGTGCTGCTCGCTTGGCGGGTGTTACACGTGTAATACTGCAGTGTTCAGACGACGCCTGCCGCGCTGCACATGTTTCGCCTTTGGCTGCCGTGGGGCCGCCTCCGTAGGAAATGCAATACAGATTCGCTTTCTGTGCAATTTAAACAGTATTATCTTTGCATTTTATAACTATCTTTGTTACTATCAAGAAGACATGTCTAAATATAAATCAGTTGCGATCTTCATAATAATAGCTCAGTCGCCTTTATTTTCGTGAGCGCCAAAGACTGTTTATGAGTTCGGCCATAAAGGGGCACCATCATATTCACTCACACCCTCCCCACGCCCAAGCTTGCGCACACGGGGCACTATCACCACAGGAAATGCTGCACTAAGATACCTATTGGAGGCAAAGTCATGTTGCAACTTTGGAGCAGAAGTTATTCCCTGGGCGAGCGTTCATTCTGACAGCACATTAAGAGTGGTTCCTTGATGACTATTTGTCTCCATACTTATTTGCGAAGCAATACACCAGATATTTGATGTGGAACACCTTCTGTCAAACAAAAAATCAACACCTGCTCGATTTGCCTCCAAGTTTGTCGTAGGACATGTCTCCCATGGCGTGAGAATATGGCCGACTCCTGCCGCTGAATGTTCCCCTCGCCTCCCCTCACCCCTATTCTCAGCGCCCAAACCCTCCAGCTTCTAGTCCCTCACAGCCTCCTGCATGCCTCACTCCCTTGCCCTCGAGCCCCGCCTGACGGCCGGTGTTGCAGGCAAAGTTGGTGATCACATGATGAAGGACGCCCTCATTGGTGCCGCGATGCCCACCGACGTGTTCTGCTCCGTGCCCGGCCGCCTCTCCCTCCTCTCGTCCAACTCCAAGTACAAAGTGACCGTCTCAGAGCTGCAGCGGCGCCTGTCTCCTCCAGAGTGCCTCAACGCCTCCATCCTGGGCGGCATCCTCCGCAGGTAAGCCGCCCGCTCTCCCGCACCTCAACCACCGCGGCACGGAGAGGCGGCACCACCGCAGCGTCACCGTAACACCCGTATCAGGGAATCACGTCCGCGTCTCCTTACTTTGCCCCCCCCCCCTGAGCCTAACACTCGAGCACCTTGGAGGAAGATATCTGGCGGACAAAGCCTGCAGTCACGACACTGAACTTAGCTTGGCATTGCACATTGCTTTTGTAAAATGATGTATTGAACACGAACGCGACTGCACTCCTCTTTCATTCCGTAATTTAATCTTGTAAAGGGATATCTTGCCAGGGTTGTAATTTCAAGGAAATAAGAATGGATCGATGAGTTTCCTGTGGATAAAGGGTACTTACTAATGGTACTAATGAACAACAGCTGTGCAGATTAGATATAGTGACATGTAGTACGGCATGCGCACCACACTGTCTCTCTCCCCAGATGGCAGAGTGACAAAACACGTGTCTTCTCCCGCCCTGTGGGCCGTTGAGTGAATGATTTGCCTCCTTTCTCGCTCCCTCCTTCCCGCATCCTTGCACTTGCCGTGCCTTCCTCAGCGCCTCCTCCCTCCTTCCTCTCCTTCGTGCGGTGCGGAAGCCACTGCCAGTGTTCCAGCTTGATCCTTCTTGTGCATGGACGGGGCCACCAGGTAGCAGCTTTGACCTGGCCTTAGAGCAAAGCAGTAAGTGGTAGACTAGTGGAGGCACCCGGCGATTTGCCGGCTGCCGTGCTTGGGTGTGTAGGTAGTCGGGTCGGTCTCGCCGTCGCATGCTCGGGTCGGGTCTCTGTGTTACGGCTAGATTCTTTAGATCAGTTGGTTTGAAACCTGTTTGGATAGTTTTACGTACTGTTGTTATTATTGTTACCATTATTACTAGCCTCATTATTATCATCATTATCATTATTATTATTTTATTATTATTATTTTTATTATTATTATTTTTATTATTTTTTTATTATTTTTATTATTATTTTTATTATTATTTTTATTATTATTATTATTATTATTATTATTATTTTTACTATTACTATTGCTATCATCATCATGATGATCACCACCACCACTATCACCACCACCACCACCACCACTATCACCACCATCACCACCACCACCAACAATATTATCGTTATTATGATAGATATTATTTGTTTATTATTATTATCAATTACTATTATTGGTATTATTTATTATTGTTGTTGTTATTACTATTATTGTTATTGTTATTATTAGCAGTTATTATTAATATTATTTACAACTGTTGTTATTATTATCATTATTATTATTATTATTATTATTATTATTATTGTACTCTAATTCACATTATTACTATTGTAATTTTTATTATAATCGCCATCACTAGCTCAAATCATTATCATTATTACAGTTATTATTATTATACTACTCTTACCCGCCATCATGATCATTATCATCATCATCATCATCACCATCGTCATTCACCATCATACACCATCATACACCATTATTTTGTTGTTATTATTTCAACTAGTTTTATTCCCGATATTGTTGTTACTACTTTTGCTACTACTACTCGACTATTAATGTTGTGTTGGTGTTGTTTTTCATTGTTATCGTCATCTATACTATTATTATTACCATCATCATCATATCATCCTCATCGCCATCACCATCATCATCATCATCATCATTATTGCTACATTTTACTTTTGGGGTTGTAGTTATTTTTGTTGTTATTATTATTACTATTATTATAATTATTATTATTATTATTATTATTATTGTTGCTATTGTTTTTGTTGTTATTATTACTATTATTTCATAATTTTATAATTATTGTTATCATTATCATCATCGTTGTTATTATTATCCTAACAGTTGCCCTAGGCTTTTTACTCAGTTCAGATCTGTTATGTTCTTTGCATTTCAAGCGGACGGAGAGACCGTCTGTGAACGCCTTAACCTTTCCCCAAAGTTCCTTCCTTTAACCGCCCCCAATATAAAGACACTAGCAAAGTGTCTGTAGAAATCCTCGATTTCCTCGAAAAGTGTTATCTCAGGAAAGTAATTTTCAAAGTATACAGTGACTGGTGTTTACAAGGAGTACACCCAGCACCTGCCTCTGACCGAGCAGAAGGCGTAGTGTCGTTGGCCCTGGCGCTGAGAGAGAGTGTGGTGTGTTGCAGGGCTCAAGAGTGAGAAGGGCATGGGCCTATCCGGCATGCCCTCAGGCAATGACGTTTTCTGCTCCGTGCCCGGTCGGCTGTCCCTCCTCTCCTCGACCTCCAAGTATAAGGTGACGGTAGCGGAAGTTCAGCGCCGCCTCTCCCCGCCCGAGTGCCTCAATGCCTCCCTCCTCGGGGGTGTCCTTCGCAG